GTAAAGGCGCTAAGGCGCATACTCGCTGCACCCTTTTTTCAGTGACTCGGCTTTCAGACTCCGTCTTCCAAGTCTGTCTCCTAGGGGAAAACGATCCAGTAACATTAAATGAAGGGTCCCTTGTCGCTTTGGGGTCCTAGTTTTCATTATAAGGAATCAGCTGACAGGGACCATCCCATTAAGCTTTATTTTCCGTCTTGCACTTGTACATTTGCTCAAGGCTAGAGAGAACCCAGCCTTTACTAGAGGCGTTATCAACGTTTCCTTACGCATTTGGGCTTCCCTGATGACTCCACTGGCAATTTCTTTTCCATGTTTCTACGCCACTCTCTATGCTTACTATCAAAGACCGTGCCTCTAAAGAAAACCTGCCCAAGAATTCTATGTGGGGTTATTGAAGGAATTTCCATTCCCTGGAAAAAATTTGTTAAATTTGTCGTTTTACCCGTGATATGGAAAGCTCGTATGATCTTGGTGGGACTCCATCCGAGTGCACCGCGACTGATGTAGTGCCAGTAGGAGTGCGCACACTGTTGAAGCCGTTCTCAGCCTTTTTGTTGAAGCGACAAAAAGTGGTAGAAAACGAGTAATACGAAGGATATAATACAGTAATGTCACTTGCCCGCTTCAACAATTGGTGCAGAACGACTTCGGTACCGCGCCAAACGCAGCCGCACTGACACGCCCCGACAGTCCGTAATGATGAGGATTGTAATCATTGCGCTATAGCGTCTAGAACGGTTACAAATTATAAAGCTTCACGCCAAGTTAGACCAGTGACTTTAAATTTGCCACGAACTCTGCTTTCGCTTGGAGTCACAGCGAATCAGGGGTGTAATGCTATATGGCATTTGACACCCCTGTTTCGCTGTGACTGTCCAAGATTGCCAGAGTTCTCACTTTCCCCTCTATTCTGGTACCAGTCAATGGACCATGGGTGGTTGGCCGGGGGAATGGTTCGGTAGGCCTGAGTGGAAGCCGATCAGAAATTTGAGACACGATCCAAAAGTGATAAACGGCGACAATCCTGTTTACTGCTGGTGATCATGCGTGTCAGTTGGACTCAGTTTGGCGCCACCTGTTGTTGAAGCGGCTAAGCGACAACAACTGGTGGAAAACGAGTAACACGAACGATACAGTCTTTTCGCTTGCCGAAAAGAAAAAATTGAAAGAGAACGGTCTGGCGCCGCATCAAACCCATCCCATCTTGTCACGCCAAATCACCCGCAGCCAACAAAACTGCATCTACCAATGAAGCACTTCAGCGTAGCACGAATAGACAACAAGTCTTCATACTTAACAGTTCAGTCATCATCCTACATTTAAGGCTGTTCTAAAGGCGAAATTTCCATATGGCTCGCCTTCGAAGAACTCGGTTGGAAGCGAACTTATTGATAGCAGTTTCGCTGAGGACTATAAAGCTTGTCGGCAAATGTGTGAAAAAGAGGCAAGTGATTCCATTTTTAGGATTTAATCTCCTGCGCAAAACACACACACACACACACACA